ATATCAGGGCAGATATGCCCCGATCAAATAAGGCAACCTTCATATACAGAGTGTTTTTTTTGTTTATTCTTGCAGATGTTCTTTTTGTTAGAAAAAGTCACGAAAGCTACGCTTTTGCAGTTTGTGCGAGTGAGTTATACGCCCCGGGGGACATTATGTGGGTGGCCAATCTTTGCAATAGGTCGACTAATTATTTGAAATTCACTACTCAACTTTTCAATGAATGAAAATAGACATACGGTTCCAATAAGAAACTTGCTGAGCGTCGTCCAAAATCCCTAGATCAGTCATTTTCAGAAAGGCTAATGATTTCGGTAAGGCGCCCGCGCAATTTTCCCGTCACTTATCTAGCCCAAGCCTTGCACCTGGTCCACGAGTGGTAACTTCAGCGCACTACTGCGCTTCACACGCCCTCAAAGTCTTTCTAAATATTTATGGTTTAGGGGTTTTGGACGACGCTCAGCAAGTTTTTAATTGAAACCATATGTCTATTTTCACTAAGTAAAAGTTAATTAATGAATATTAATTAATTAGCGGACTTATCGGGAAGATGAGCAAACTGCATAATGTCCCCCTCGGCGTATCACTCACTTGCACAAACCGCATAAGTATAGCGTTCACGGCTTCTTTTAAAACAAATCTGCAAAAAAAAAAAAAGAACGGTATTCATGCTTTGCACGTACGTCCCATCATGACGTCGAACACCGGTATCCACCATGCTGGTGGTTGACTCTTCGACCCTTCACAGCGAGTGCAATGGTAGACTGCGCCGCGCTCGGCTGTAGCAATTACCCCGTATCCCGACGATCGTTTCGTCCGCATGAACCACGAGGCAGATTGTCCGTCAAGTTAGAGAAAGTACGAGCGGCAGAAGAGGGATACGTCCGCGGATGACCGAGTTTGCGGCACGCATCTTATAGCCGCGAGCAACTGCACTTTTCTACCGTTGTTTACGCTCGCGCACGCCTTGGCATTGGCTTTTGCCCATTCGTTGTGTAGATGTCCTGTGCCTATCGTTACACAACGCCGTTTCCCCGCTTTGAGCTCACGTTCGGGGCTCCTGGCCGAGTACGCATGCCTTTGCATCGGTTTTTGCCCATTCGTGGTGTAGATGCCCTTTCCCTTTCGTTACATAACGCCGTTTCCCCGCTTCGAGCGCATTGTCCGGGCTCCCGGCCGAGTACGGGCGAATGTCGCGCTACGAGCCCTGCCCGACGGCGATCTGTCGGCGGCGGACCCCGTGCGCAAGCTCCCCGAGACGCCGCCGTCAGGGGATCGGTTTGCGCTGTCCGCGAGACGGTAACGTTTGCAAGGAGCTAAAGTATGTAGGAAAGCCGGTTAGGAACATCGTAATATAAAGCCTTAGTCAATGAGAGTTGCACGTTATTTGATTTATCCTTATTTCAGGGTTTAGATAATGACGGTAACCTAGCGTTCTTTACCAGTATTTCGCGAAATCATAACAGTCTTTCTACAAGCGACTCGTAAAGCCGCTCGTCGAATTTTGGAACGCGTAATTAAGAGTCTTTGTTGCTGTTGTTTTTTGCCGACACGTCATAACTTTGTCTGTGGCATATCGAAATTTTGTGCTTGTAGCGCAATCGCACCAATGCCGAAACATTCTGCACAATTACTATTCCGGCTGCGAGGAGATAGACACGGCCTAATTCTAGACGTACTCTGGCAGAATTCCTTTAGGAAAACGATCAATTGTCGCGAAGTAGGTTTGAGCGCACTTACGTTGAAGAGACGGCACTTTAAAGGTCTAATTCGAGAAAGATGTCGACGTGGCCACGGCAAAACCACCACTCGAACACAAAAACGAGAAGTCAGATTCGACACGATGTAGCACAAGCTGTCATTTGTAGACCCGAACACTAAACACATCACAAAAAATTATCGGGCTTCCTTGGAGAGATCACTTGCATAATCAGAATTCCGCAGCAGAAAACGCAGGGCGAATTCGCACGCCAAGCTAGGTCCGGCTAAACGCCTTCCGAGACAGCCAATGGCTAATGCGTCTTCCATCAAACCACGCGACTAGGTACCTTCTACCACGCTTTCAGCTTAGGAAGAGAAAAAAGAAGAGAAAGAAAGGCGAAAACGGGACTGTACGAAAAAAAAAATTATTTTATGGGGCATCAACGGTCACAACGAGCGGATTTGTCACTTGTACCGCAGGTTGACAGTGCAGTGAATGCTATTTGTGGCCTTGGGCTCCAGGCAGGTGCCATGTACTGCTTTATCACAAGCTTCTAGATTGTAGTCACGTGACCCTAACCGGAGACACGATTGGCCTAAAATACGCAAACCGTCTACCCTGCTGTCAATACCGAGTGAACATACAGCTGTATGAAGTCCAGCGTTTGAACTTTCAAAGAAGCTGTCCAGCTGAAAAGTGACCTAAAACGATGCGAGTTTGAAGATACTACGTTTTACGCTATATAACCCACGTTATAATTTGAAATGAAAAAGAAATGCGACTATTTTTTGTGCACGAGGTTCACAAATAAATCGATAAATAAATATGTAAATTTAATTTTTACTAATAAATTTAAAATTATGGGTACACTGTTAGGTTAGCGTTTTTAAATTTCATTTTTTTACGAAAGAGTTACCCATAAAAGACACCACGGACAGCACATCTTTCGACTTTCAACACACGATGAATTGCTGACGCTCGCAGACGAACGGATGGGATGCTGCGCGAACGGTTTTTGAAAGATTGGACTCCGGGCGCAACAGCTTCGCAGCCATTCAAAGGGAGAAGGATCCGAGGCGACGAAGTAGCGCCTTGTATCTTCAGTAAGCTAACGGTTCGTGTTTATCCGCTAAATTTAGCGGAGAAACATGAACAAAATTAGTTTCACTGCTAGATTTAGCGGGAAAATTGACGTCACGTGACATTCGTACTAATTTAATTTCTCGCTAAATTTACCGGGGCGGTTACACCGATTGTGACGCCGACATCGCTTAGCTCGGAAACGGGTACCTAAGAGCCGCGATCTAAAACCCATTATTTGATTAACTCGCTTTCCGATCGCACTTCGTCATATTGTCACACGTCAAACATACAACCTAATTTCATTTGTCTTTCAATCCTCCATATGCGCAATTCATTATTGGTTCAAATACCAGGAATAACTTTACGCTAAGGATGTTATCAATAGTTTACCAATTACATGAGACTCATGTAATATAGATCGATCAGCTAGTGCCTTAGCGAGTACATATGACCTATTGCTTGCACGACCGAAACGGGCCCATATATCATTATCAGGGCCCATATTTGCACCATATATGGCTATATATGGCCGTATTTACGCACTTATAGGGCCACATCTAGAAGTATTTGCAAACTGATATGATGAAATATGGCCGTATTTGCTCCGATATGTGGCGGAATATGGCCATATTTAACTGCTTATATGATCATAAATGGCCGTATATAAGATATATCAGGGCAATATCTGACATTTTCGTACGGGTACGCTCCATCGCAAGGAGAAAGCCGCGCGAAGAAGCGGCTCGGACTTTGCCATGGCGTCGCAACGTCACTCTCTACGCCACCTCCCACTGGCTTCTTTCTCCTGCGGCAAGAAACGGCGAGCCCTCAAGGTTGCACGGGCAGGTTGCCTTGACTGCACCGAGCGGCGATCCGCTGAGGGCGAAAACTAGTTTTGGCCTTCAGCCCGTGGCGGCCAGCGGCGCGCGGGAAGCCTCCACAACGCTTGTGAGGTCGGGCCTTTAGTCAGGTGCTCCCGAACCGTTTGAGACCGACAATTTCACTCTTGAGGTCGTCACTGCCTTTTAAGCTAATAAATAAAACATTCGCGTGGTGCACAAGTAATGTACGAACACATTTGGTAGAAACAAATCAATCTCGTAATTTTATTTTAAATCCGGTCTTAGAGCCCGAACCGGCTTCCTAAACGTCAAAAAAAAATACACAGAAATATAAAACAAGATATATATTTTATTTAAAGGTCTTACACCGGGTGTTTCAGAGAAGGTTTTAAAAAAAAATCACTAAACTAGGGTGATTGAGCAAAAAAGAAACTCTGTGCGGAAGAATCTGCCAGCCGCGACGGACATCAAAGAATGTAAGAACAGTCGAATTAGGTAGACATGTTATGCTTAAAAGTTTAGTGATTAAAAATAAACATCTTGCTTTAACAAGGAAGTTGTGAAGCATCATCGAATACTCCAAAATCAACTCATTTCAGAAATATTAAGGCAAATGACACGTTTTATAGCATTCCCCAAACAAAACCCCTTGGGACGCGTTTTTAGGTTTCCACTCCTTACCAGAGCGCATCTTTGCGCCCGCAGCCCCGCTTCCTGACGGCCGAAATGCAAAGCCACCGCCTCGCCTCATTTGTAAGACGGGTGGAAGTATGGCGCACGTGGCGTTGCACATCTCGGCCGCTGGGAGTCATGACTGCCGGCATAAAGATACGCTCCGATAGAAAACCGAATTCTGGAAAGCCGTCCAAATAGAGCGTTTTTTTTTTTTTTTTTTTGTAACGCCGGAAAATGTGAAAATGTTACGTCTGGCTTACTACATATTTATAAAATATGTTTATGTAGTGGTTTTTGATTATGCTTATCGAGATTCTTTTGAAAACCATGTTTATTTTTACTAATTAAATCACGTTATTACAAATAATTTGATTTATTAATTAGTATTTTTTTCATTCCTTTTCTTTTCTTCACAACCATCGTTTATGAGAGATTTCTTAAACCCTTCTCTGAAACATCCGGTATCTAGCGAATGAATTGATGTCTACAGGTAACTTGTAAACGAATGCACGAGTTGCTTTGCGTGAGGCTGGTTCTGCGGATATACTGCAGATATCACCGTTTTAATTAGGCGGTATATATTTTAAGGACTTGAATACGTATTTTTCTTTTTGTTAACTGAGAACGGTGCTCTTGAAGTGGCAATTGATTCGAGTGTTATTCAACCAGAGCTTACGCATATGTGCAATTTTTCCCAGCAATGCCCTTGGAGCATACAACGACCTCACCGAAGCCGATGGTATGAGCACATTTTCAGACTTCTGGAAGATGAACATCAGGCATTACGGACTGCTCAAGTTCCGAGTGCACGACGATCTTGTAACCAATAGGAATACCGTCCAGGACTACGATAATCTTTTGAAGGTAAGGCACAGCCTTCCTTTCTGGAAAAACATCTGAAATATATACTTTGTCGGATCTCAAATACACCAAATAATAAGAATGCAATATAAATGCGTGTATCATATTTGAAGGTTACCTACACAAATGCTCGGTTCTAGCTGCTGAAATTGGCTCTGAAATTAAATCCATATCACGAAGCCGGATACATTTACACCGTGAAAATGTGGCACGTTAGGAAAGTATCACAATAGCGCATTCCGAAAATCCCCAGTGCCTCTAAGCGCCTGTCTGACAACGTACGGCAATGCTATGTAAGGTCCTTGAAAGGGTAAAGTAATAAATAAACGCAGCAGGTAATGTCGCTTATTATTTGCGATTTCAGAACGCCAAAAGTACGGTTCGATAACAAAGCAGGGCATTTCCGTCTCTGTGACCTGCTCGCTTTGTTTTCTTTGAGTCCTGAACTCGCAGTGAACAGAGATAATGAAACGAACCACTTATAGGATGGACGGAGGCCGCGAGCTTAACCGAAAGTACATTGGAACGGCTGCACAATTCACACCACCATGTGCTCCAATGTGCGGTTGTCAAAAGGCATTGTGGGATTTTCAAAAAAGGTCTACACTCCGCCACGACTTTTCTTGTCATTTTTGCGGAGTGTAGGAGAGCCCGCGAACAGCTTGATTCTGCGCTCAAAATGGAAGAGGAAATGCGAGCCTCTACGTTCCTCTGCATTGCCACGAAAGGTTGTCGCGGAGTAGAGTGGAAACAGGAAACCAGCAAAATGAGTTGCCGTTCTTCCTTTCCAAAATTAGCCAGACACTAATTATACGTCTACAATACAAATAATGGTGACTTTCATTTTGACATACACCACTAAATTTTCGTTTGGAACAGGTCTTGACGTCCCTGGTAGGAATTTCAACCACAACATCTCCTCACGAATGTGAGGGTCGATGCCTGTTCGAATTTCAGCGCATCCGATGCCTACCTTCACACCCTTTGGCTTCGCCCCTATCTCAAGGAAATTAATTTTGGCTGCCTTCAGAGGAAATTATAAGTTCTGCGCCTCAGAGGCTTTGTTAACTGTTTTTTGTCGTTCCCGGTGCGGTACTGCTCAATACGGGAAAAATACTGTCGACTCGTTGGTTACATGCAAGCGCGCGCCCCGTGACTTACGTATGATCTTCTAAAACTACGTAAGTTTTCGGGGTTAGAGCGGTCAAGCGCGACTTAAAAACGACTATAGGTCACTGTTAAATGCGAGTACTTCTTCCGTCTGCCGCCCTTGCAAAGCGAACACAAGGAAAATGGCACTGACCCGTCTGCGCTCTCTTTTATTCCCTTATGAACACTACAATGCAATTATGACACCGCTAATTGCAAGCCCCCAAGTAAACACAAACAAACTGTTAGCTCATTGCTAAAGTGCCTAATACTATCACAATCACCATGAGTGTGAGCACCGCTCTGTGTCGCCTGCGGTAGTATCAGTGCCCCTGTCCACTGCTCCGTGAATTATAAGTTGAGACGCTTTGCAGACGAGACATATACACCCGTATTCTTCAGTCGCGAGTAGTGCCACTTTAACCACTGACTAGCGACGTCATCGACTAAAGTTATCACGTGGTGAGTAATAGCCATCGCCATGTGAGCGTTTGGTATTCACTGGTCGTGTTTAGGGCCTAGTCGCCTCGCGCGACTGAGAGGTCGACTAACAAATCTTAGTCATGGGCTAGCCCATACAAAATGTCCTATCGCCGGCTATAGAAAATTCTTTGTATGGTCGGCTTTAGCTATTTGGCCCATCTAGCTAAACAATTTTTCATCGCTGTCTTTAGCATATTTTATGGTCGCCTTTAAGGCCGGTTCACACATACAGCGGAGCGCTAAGTTAGCGCTACGTGAGCGCTCTAAGGAGCGCTCATGTGGCGCTTCCTGGCGCGTGATGTAGCGCTCTGTTAGCGCTTCAGAAGCGCTTTGTTAGCGCTCTGTTAGCGCTACAGAAGCGCTCTGTCGGCGCTCTCACGCCCCTTGTGCCGTGCTTGCTGCTGCGGAATGGCGCGTGCACGGCGATTTCGTGGTTGTTGTTTTTCCTTTGGCATTGAAAGAAGAGGAAGTAAAATTGCCGCTCTCCAAGCAAAGGGTCCGGCAGGCGACCCAGAGTCATGGACTCTGAGCGACTGATTGATTGGGTACGACCTCATAGCTTTCTATTCGATATGTGTGACGCTGATTTCAAGGACACGCAGGTTAAAATAATCGCCTTCGAAAGAGCTCTGTGTCTCGGTCCCTCAGCCTAGGAACAAGGTTCGCCGGGTACCCGTCGGTTACTCGGTGGCGAAAGATTTCGCACACCCAGAAGGCTCTTCTGGGAGTTAAGCCGCCCACACAGATATGCACTAATCGCGTATGTAAGAGCACTTGTCGCATTTCTATTTCAGCATCTCACATGTCCGCCATGGTACTGCTGATGCACACCCAACCACAGGAACCGAAACCGCAGTGCACCTGCTAATCCGCAGCACCGCGGTACAAGAAGCGCTAATGAGGCGCTAACAGGGCGCTACTGAAGCGCTAACAAGACGCTACTAGAGCGCTAACAAGGCGCTCACGCAGCGCTAACTTAGCGCTCCGCTGTATGTGTGAACAGGCCTTTATGGGCCTCTTTAGCTTTGTCTATGGCCCTATCGTTGTCCAGCTATCGCGCTCTTTAGCTTTTCTAATGGTTGGCTAAAGACGTCTATATGTCTTTTCCTATGGCTCTCCTGAGCCAGCAAACCCTAAAAAAAATTTACTTCAAGTTTTCTGACTTGTGAACGCTAAATGCTGTATGTAAATCTATGTATAGCTATACATACATCTATGAACACACAGAACACTTCCCCACACAGTAGCAACAACGCAGATCGACAAACGCTATGTTCGCACTAGCTGTATATATGGCAGTCTAATTTTTGAATTCGACTTTGCCGGGGACCCATCAATTGTCGGAAAAACACGGAGAGGTGGAGCAAATATTACTCGTACTTAATACATTTCTTGAATTGTCGCTAGGAATACCACATTTCTTAATTCAAAACCCTGAAAATAGCAAATATAGATTATTAGGCTAATTAACTAACATGTATTAATCATCTTTTTCATAAGTTTGATGAATCACGTTGACAATGCAGTGATAACATGTAGTACACTGGTACTGAAGATTGCAGTCAATCTATTGCTTGATGTTCGGTGCTAGTGTAAGTTATTTTCACTTTTGGGGGTAATAATTAATTTTAATTGTTGCACAAATATTTTAATGGATTTTTCAAACAAACAATTTTACTGGTTTTCACGACTCGTTTCAACAGAAGAGAACAAATCTTGGGTCATGGTTTTTCACCGGCCCGAAAGAAATTTAGTATTGAAATAGTTTTCTAATGTGGAGTGTTTTTACTAAAAAAGTAAGCGCCGGTAGTGATTTTCTGTAGGCGTGGGAAGAAAATTTATCGGTTCCTAGCCTTTAAACTCGGGGCCATACATTTTTCTATAGACAGATAAGGACAATTTATTGGTTTCCAGTCTTTAAACTCGGGGCAAAGGAGCTATTTATAGGCGGTGAAAAGAATATTTATGGGTTCGCGCGAACCAATAAATATTATATGGCCCCGTGTCTAAAGACCGCGCGGTCTTTAGACAAGGGGCCATATAATATTTTATAGGCGTCTAAGGAAATTTTATTGGTTCCCAGTATTTAGACTAAGGGTCATAAAGTCCCTATAGACGGCTAAACAATTTATTGGTTCCCAGCCTTTAGTCCTGTAGCCAAAGTATTTTCTATAAGCGAGTAAAGAAAACTTATTGGTTGCCGGTCTTTAGACACAGTGCCATAGGTTTCTCTATAGCCGGCTGTAGCTGTCTTTATGGATTTCTACGGCCGACCATCGAGGGCCATGAGGGTTGAAAGCCTGCTATATAATCTTCCATAGGCGACCATAGACCATTTTTGTATGGCAGGGCTAGTTTAGCAGGTGCTCAGCGGGTGACTAGTGGCTGAGCGCCATGGCCGACTAGTATCACGCTGACCGCCAGCGCTAACGAAGCACTCACTGCCTCGGAACGAAGGGAGACACACCTATAAAGAATTGGAGGAGCAAATATTTTGCAAATAACAAACTTCCGTGTTCCTCGCTAGCGTTTTTTTATTCATATTTTTGTTAAACTTTCTTTTGGAGAATAAGTGTCTTGTGATAACTTTTTTTTCTGATAAAAATTTAAATATCAGTTTTTATATGATAAAATATACATTTACAGAGTGGCATTAAAAGGGGTGCGGAAATGAAATTCCAGCGCTCATTTTTTAGCGTTAATGCGCTGCATGTTGCAGCATAAGCTCCAAAATACCAGTCTTTCAATGAAAGGAACAAGAAGACTAATTTTAAAGCTCATTAAACGATCTTTTAATGTGCACCTGGTGGATGCATGCGGAGCCTATTTGGGAGGTTATCTAGCAACACTGGGAAACATGCTACGTGGTCATGACGTAGCCAGTTCCATCGGAGCAGCGCCGCTCTTTGCAATTCAGCATTTTCCTAGATAACTTTCCACCTCAACCCACAAATCGCGCATTGTACCAAACAGTTAAAAAAAAAAAAACAGATCCTCATTTGTGTACCCGGACACAGCCTTTCTTCTTTAGAAGATTAGCCCGTCGCTCAAAATTTGGACGAAAGATGCTTTTTCCGCCCTGTTCAACCCTAGGCTGACATTGCTGCGTGCTACGTGCTCCTTGGGCAAGTTACACGCTCGTCACCTAACGGGAACTTCGAACGGCTCGGTTGTAACGCGTTGACGCTATTGACACCACCACAACGCTGACAACGTCACCAACGGCAAAGCTCATAACCACGCAAGCCTTGCTACGTCACGAACGCGGAGAATCTTTTTGTTTCTGTTTTTGTTTGCGCCGGATATCCCATGACGCATCGCGCCCTCCGTTCGCTTCTCTTCGAGCGCTTGCTCGAGTGCAGCGTTTGGAACAAAGCATATAGCCAGTCGTTCAAAATACAAACGTGGTATTATCATTTACGGTTATTATCCCTTATGCCTGACTCATTTCCGAACGAAATTTGAATATTTCGCTTTTCGTTTACGTACTCCTTTAAGATCATGTATACGTGACATATTTTTATGTCACTTCCGCCTTTTAGTTCTGACTAGAGAGTCACCCGCTCGCTTCGCGCTCGTGAATGCCGCTCGACTGGTCCATTCTTAGCCGCTGATATTTTCTCTTGGTTCGCAACTACTTAATTGCGATACTAACTTTAAAACAGCTCCAGTTAGTCACGACTGTTGAATACGGTTGAGTGGGTCTCCAGCGATCGTGTCCCCATTCTGCAGTTCCGGGTCGTGTGCTAGCGAAGAACGGTCGGCGGAACCGCAAAACTGTTCACCAGTGAACAAGAGCATTTTTAGCTAAGAATATGCGCAAGCAAAAATAACTTACGAAGGTTTCGGAACAATGCTAAAACTGCCTAATATTCACTTCTAGTGAGTTTTGCGAGAGCGAAGGATCGCAAATCCGCACTCGCAAGAAGTCAGCGCAGTTCAAGCGCAGCTCATATTACGCTCCTGGAACCGTAAAAGCAACATGGCACAGCATTAATCAATTGCAGACTTTCCCACAGTGACGTCAATGTCACTCTGAGTCTTATCGGGTGATGACCGATCAACCACCTCGAAGCTCGAACGGATATTACAAATGTTTGCCCCGTCACGCACGCGTAAAATGGCGCAAGTGTGTAAGACAAATTGACCCCCCCCCCCCCCCCCCCCGTTAGTGATGATGCCACAACATGGCGCTGCGCTGCAAACAAACCGTTGCTCTGCTGGCTGGAAGCAGAAGTGTGCCGGGCGGGAGCGAAGGGCTGCACAGAGTGGCGATGAAAACGACCCGTCTGTTCTTCTCGTCTGCAGACCTCAGTGACCCGAGGGGTGGCGAAGATTTAAATCGCGACACACGCGCTGCCTGCAGCGCGTGTTTTGAAAGGTCACAGAGTTCCTTTATATTTTGACGCATGTTGCTGTAACTACATGAATTTCGCCCGTTTCGGACGTTAAATGAACCGTGCACCGAAATTCTGCGATGAAAATTCCACGAAAAAATATTTCGAGACCGCCAGGAGCGCTGCTGTCGGCAGGCGTGTTAAGCGGGGTTTGCCATTTGCACAGCATCAGCCGGGGGATCACGTGACACTCCAGTGATGCCACCCCTCTACATCCCGTATCTCTACCGGTCGGGGTCACGTGACATTTCCTTTCTTCGCGTTTTGTCGGGTGGTGTTATTTGGGTTCGTCGATCATCTAGCTGGCCGCTCCGCGAACGGGTAGGCAAGGCTGCCGCGAACCGGCGTTTGTGGGTGGTTCGCAGTTGGTCGTCTGCGAGCAATGATCTCTGTTTATTTGCTGGATCGGGTTAGACCAGCTCGCCCATGGACGGAGATGCGGCCACGGTCGGCCATCTTTTTCGTAGAGTTATATTATCTCTACCCATCGTAATAATATGGCGGACGCCGCTATTGCGGCAGGCTGTCCTAAAATAGCCTTGGATCTACTACAGAGTACCTTGGGTCATAATTTATGGTTGACAGAAGTGGTTCGGCGAAGCAGATTCTTGAAAACCGGTGTGAACGGTAGCCTTATCTTTGAGAACCCAAGGAAAGTTCTAGGAAAGCGCAGCACTAGGGTAAAGCAGCGCAGCTTGCATGGCAAGCAGATGCAGTACCGGCGTCTGCTTTCGAGGTTTTTTTTTTTTTTTTTATGCGACTTTCAATGCGTGCTGTGCTGCTTTTTCCCGGTGCTGCGATTTCGTGAAACTTTAACCGGGTCCTCGAAGATCGCGCTACCATTCACGCCGGGTTTAAACAATATGTATTGTCAAACAATTTAAAACAAGAATGAAATATAACCCACGGCTATTTTTGCCACAACGCTGTCTGCCATGAATGGATGATAGTGGCTGCACTAGCTGTACATTGACTAGAGGTAATATGACTCTACCGAAAAGATGACCGTTAGTGGCCGCATTCGCGGAGCGGGCAAACGCGATCCAGCAAATAGACATAGAGATCAGAGTTTGCGAGAGTCTCAGCATTCCCGCCTGCTTTCCTCCTCGCCACGCGAAAACACAGCGCATGCGCACTTGCGTCCGATCTCCGCTGGTGGCGTCCGCCATTCAACAGACCCTTTGCTCAATCCCCTAAGCGCCTTAGTCTGCACTCGAGAAATTGTGTTAACGGTGGTCCTTCAGCTCTTTAATGATCGGTGCTTTCGACTTATCCGGCGGTTACACAGTTTCGAGTGTAATCCAGAGTCACATTGAACAAGCATCATGCAGAATACAAGGAACTGTCTTGTCCCTTTTAAAATTTCTCGTAGCTGTTTGCGTTTTTGATACTGTTCATTTAACCCACCCTTTAATCTTGTTCTGAGGAAACAAAAGAGAACTAATTATGTCTAGGCTAGAAACTAGAGGAAAGATACCTTAGTAGCAAAGGGGAATATAAGACTATTGGGAAGGGGGATGACACAAGTTTTTGGAAAAGAAGAAAACGAAACAAAATACAGAATAACGGGCAAAGGCTGTCAGGTTTAATTCCCATCATTGAAGTTCATCAGGTAGATAACAAAAATTAAATAAACGAGATTATATCTTGGCTTATATTTAGTAGATGCATTTTAACCTACGAATAATTGAGGACTTACGTCAGTGAATAGAATTTACATCAAGTGGCCTCGGACGAAGGCAGTATTATGCGGATGTTTTAGCATCTACTAATTAAAAGACATCGTTTACTATAGGTATGATACATAGGCAAAATGCTAAGAGTATAATTATTCGTCCTTATGTTCCTATGTGGTGTAGAAATTGAGAGACCTCCAGGAAGTGAATAGAGCCGGGGACGCCAAGAAATTTGGATACATCATCCTCGGCGTTGGCCTCTTTGCCCCCAGGAGCGGCAAAGTCTATAACTACCTGGAAGAACTTCTTCGGTACGTTCTTAGATTGCAGGTAAAAAAAAACAACAACACATACACTAAAAGGCCTTAAACGTAACGCAAACGGAAGGAAGAAGTGACTTTTCGCGAATTTGCCATGCTCCCAACAAAGGACTGGATCTGTTTTAAGCTGAATATCCAGGTAATCTATGTAACCGTCCTTCGGCCTTTCAAGCATATCATTAATTCAGAAGCTATCTCAAACACTGACTTCTCTAGAGATTATGTCAGAGACACGTCTGTAGAACATTCGCTAGACCATTCGAGCACCGCGGCGGCAACGGCAGTGGTGTATCCATACTTGTTAGAGAGTCCTGCAGATAGAAAGCCACCGTTTTCTGCAAGGATTCATTTTTATCTACGACCTTCAGAGAGGGAAGGGGTAGATCGAATTCGTGGTATTTCACAAAAAGCTGAATGCCAAACCACGTGAGACCCCGTTAAGTTTTGTAGCTGCCCCCACAATATCGGTGTCCATCATAATTTGATAGAATTTCCCATTTGGATTGTTTCAAACGGCCGTCGAACGCCTTGAGCAAACTCCCCAAAACCCATGTATTATTCCTTCCGATGCTCCAGTTTTGGCAATACAGCGAACAGTCTGCCTTATTGGTTTATAAAGTACCAGCTATTTCTCTTCAACATCACTTTTAAGCGCCGTGGTTCTAGTGAAATTTCAGTGGTCGCTTCTGTACGAGGCATATACGAAATCCGACGTATTTTTTATTGATGACGAAAGTAGCGTGGGTTTATTTCTGCTGGGTGGGACTGGTGACATCACGCCACATGAATCGCAAAAGCAATATTCCTCCAGGAGGGTGTGATGTTTACTTTGTTAAAATAGGTTATGTTTGTATAGACACATGGACGGTATAAAGGTTTACAATATTCCTCAGTGCAGATAGTGGAGACGACAGAACCGGGACATAATTTTTTCCGAGGGTAGATCTAAAGTTTTAAAGCTATAAATACCACATCGTAATTTCTGATTTCTAATGCAAACCCATCCGTCAGCATTGAAGAAGAGTTGAAGCTCTCACCAATAAAAACAGTCCAAATTTAGTCACAGAAAGAGTTCACGGTTTGCCACTCACTCTAAAATTAATAAGAGTGTCAAGTTGCTTTTCTTTAAGTGTAATTAGCATGTCCCAGAATCCACCCCTTTTGCTAGAGTAAGCGTCAAACTTCAAAACAGAGTAACTGGAAGTCAACCTTTCGGTATGAGGGTTACTCTTGTCTAGATTAGGAATTACTCTTCGCAGGAGGAGTACCGTTAACGCTTACAAAGCAATAGCCATTACTCTTACAGTTCGTGTTGTACGCATGCTGAAAGCGAGTGATGGCAACACTGGGTTAGTCTACGTTAGCGACCCTTGCCAAGAGTTAAAGTGACTTTCATATCATGTGTTAATTTCACTCTTGATGAGAGTAACCTTCAACTCTTTTATGAGGGTTGCGTAAACTCCGAAAAGTAGGGTTATATGTAATATATATTAACTGTCGTAGCAACTCTGCTGAAGTTCAACCGACCACTTTTACGTGCTGTTGAAATATTTCATATAAAGTGTTCAATCTATTGTAGAATAACTGCAATTAAGTTACTTTCTTGTGTATTGTAACTCTACTGGACGTTTATCAGTCCTAAAATACTGAAAGTTTATCAGTTTATCAGTCCTTGCCCAGAAGAGTCGCATTCACCTCCTGTAGTGTAATAATTTGGAATAAATATTTTCATGAGATGAATGGTAGTCTAAGCTTCTGAAAGTCATTTAAGCATTTTCCACTGCAAAAAAAAAATAAAAAACATTTGTGTCGAAACAGATGAAACGACCTGAATGCAACAGAAGAGCGGCAAGCGTTCCTTAAAATGGTGCCTACAATTGCATACGAAAGCTCACGTTGCTCCTTGTGAAAGGTCAAGGTGTGACAAATAATGGTAAAGTCATGGAGTTTTTTATACAAATTAATTTTAATTACAAAGAAAATAATTGTCAAATCCGACTTTCTGACCATATCGAGAAAAGGCAGCATGCTTTCATTCATTCTTTCATTTGCTTATTTTTTGTGCTCGTGAAGAGCCTGACGCCTTGGTAATGAGGCACAACAAAATGTTCATAGGTCAGTGACAAACGACTTATAAGGTAGGAAATTTGGTTTAAAAACATCAATATTTGCACTCCTGAGGGAATTGTTGTAGTGTGGAATACGGGTCATGTGACTGGTTTGGTTGACGTGATTACCATGGAAAGTCGGGGAAACCCGCAAAACTCGACTCGGAACGTGAATATTAATAGCAGATGTGAGATCTGGACACTCAATTAATCCATGAATGCATTTGTATAGGAAAACAAGATGGCGCTGACGCCGTCTGGAACTCAAAGTAGGGCATTTGCTTCGTTCCATCAGTCTTGCCAAAAAATAATAAACAGTACAAACAATGTAACGATCGTAAACAATTCGACAAAACGCTTTCGAACATTTTCAATCATCTCTTGGCTCGTAAACTAATACAATTCCAGACTACAGACGAAAACTCCAACATGGTCCGGATTAACGAGAAATACAACCGTAGATAGATAGATAGATATGAAACTTTATTAGGCCCAAAGAATATGAGCAGGGGGCCTCAGTCCAGGCCCCCTCTGGTGGCGTACTCCAGAAAGGACTGGATGTACGCAGCCAGGTAAATTTGGTCCGATAATGTGGTGGCCGTAGTCAGCCACTCGGGGTTGGGAAGGAATGACAGGGAGGTGGGGTTAAGGAGGGATGGAGGCGGGGGACGGCAGATTTATAGGATGTTATGGGTATTTGGGCGGTCGTCACAGTGGATGCAGGGAGAGAATCCTCAGGAAGTAGACCTCGTAGAAGGTGGATGCTGGCTGGGGTGGGAAGAGTGTCACTTTGGGCGTTGCGCAGGATGGTGCCTTGGTGGCGTGTGAGGTGAGTGTGAAGGGGAGGGGGGGGGGAGACTCCACGGGCTCGTCTATATCACTCGAGGGAAGGTAAGGCCACGGGAAACATCTGGGCAGATCTGGGGATGTCGGGTGCCCGGTGAAGCGTTTCGCGGGCGAGCAAGTGTGCTTTCTCGTTGCCCGGTATGCCCCAATGACCTGGGATCCTAGCAACCTCAACGGGTAATAGTAGGTCGCGTTCTAATTGTTCTGCGATGGCAAGTGGGAGCGAGTTGTGTATGAGTCGCCGGCAGGCGGCCATAGAGTCGGTAAAGATGGTGGGAATAGACGAGGTAAAAGAGCCTGAGGAGGTATATGTGATAGCCGCTGCAATGGCGTGTAGTTCCGCCAAGGATGGGTCCATGGGAGGAAGAACGGCGGTGTGTTTTGTAGTGAAATGATGATCTGTGACCGCTATGGCCGTGCGAGTATCAGTCGTACTGGCATCTGTGTAGAGGTATGTGCGATGAGGAGTGCGGGCGGTGTAATGTGTGAAAAAAGCAATACGTTGAGCGCGTCGCGCTAAATTCAGCATCGGGTGCATGTGTCGAGGGAGTGGTGCTATGATAAGATGTGAACGGGTGGTGGTGGGGAGAGCTGCTGCTTTTGGAGGAAGTGAGGATGGGACATTATGGCCCAGTTGAGTGAGTATGTGTCTTCCCTGGGGGGTGAGAAGGAGTCGGATTTCCTGACGGCGTTTGTGAATAGCAACGAGCTCATCCACGGTATTGTGATAGCCCATATAGAGGAGGCGGTGGGTGGTAGTGGTGATGGGTAGGCCCATGGCGAGCTTGATGCCTTTACAAATGAGAGCATCCAGTTTCATTTTTTGTCTGCGTGAGTTTAGTGTACGGGAGGTGGTAGCGGAGGCGGGATATCAGTAAGGCGTCACAGAGCCTCCCCACGCTCTTTTCTTTAAGTCCGCGAGAGGAAGTGGAGACGCGGCGGAGCAGGTTCAGAACCTGTTCGCCTTGTTTGAGGAGATGATTACCCGTGGTTGAGCCACCGCCATCACGCTAGATGTGGAGTCCTAAAAGGCGGATGCTGTTAGGCTGTGGGATAGGGATGCCGTTTTGTTCAAGGTGAATCTGTGGCGGTTCCCAGCGGGGATTGTGAACTAGAAGGAGTTCCGATTTAGAAGGAGCACATTGTAGGCCTATGTGGTTCGCGGCTTGTTGGATTCTGTTGAAAGCATGTTGTTATGTGTCCTACTGAGCCCCGATTTATCCAGAGGGTGATATCGTCGGCGTATATAGTGTAGTGTTTGTCTGGTATGGGAGCCAGCGCTCGATGTATATGGCACCTGGCGAGATTGAAAAGAGTAGGTGAGAGTACTGAGCCTTGTGGAATGCCGCGTTGGGGATGGTCGAATGCAGTGGATGTGATTCCACCTAAACTGAGGGAGTATGTGCGTCCGCGCATGAAGCATCGGACGTAATTGTAGAGCCTGGTGCCGCAATTGGTTGCCTGGAGCTCTTCTAGCACACTGTCGTGATGGACGTTGCCGAAAGGCGTGTGGAGGTCGATTGCGAGAATTGTCTTCAATTGGAATGTGCTAAGAGTGGAGAATACTTCTTCCTGGAGTTGGAGGAGAGCGTCCTGAGTCGAGATGTGTTTCGGGTAGGCAATGAGGGAGTGTGAAAGGTGTTGTGTATTGTCTAAGTAAGTCTGGAGTCGGCGAAGGATGACTCTCTCCATAAGTTTTCCCGCACGGTGGTGGAGGTGAGTGATATAGGACGAAGGTTTTCTATATCATGTGGTTTGCCCGGTTTGGGGATGAAGCTGATCATGGCCGTCTTCCACTCGTTTGGGAGTAAGCCAGAGCACCAGGACTCATTCATGAGTGCGAGTAGGTGCTCGTAATCCTGATCTGTGAGGTTGCGCAGCTGCTGCGGTGTAATTCTGTCGGGTCCCGGAGCCCTGTTGAATCGGGTTTCCGCTACTGCCTGTTTGAGTTCGGCGAGTGTGATGTCCTCCGACAAGGAGTGGTCGTCAGGTTTGCGCCCGGCGTAGTGGTTGTACGCGGGCTGCATCGGAGTGGTGATGTACTCCTCACGGAGAGCCTGAACAAGCTGATCGGGTGCTGTATATTTATCGAGGAGTTTGTGTAGGAAAGTTCGTGCGGCCGTCTTGGACTGAGATGGATTAACTAGACTGCGGACGAGACGCCACGCTGAGGCAAGATTCAGGATATTCCTAAGTCTGTCACAGGTGCTGTACCACTGCTCTTCCGTAAGAGAGTCCGAGATAGCGGCTATTTCGTCATTGAGAAGGGAGATGCGTTTGCGTAGGCGGCGGTTGCGCTTGTTGCGCTTCTACCTTCGAATGAGGCTATGACGAGCTTCCCACAGATGGCAAAGGTGAGCGTCCGCCGCCGGTGCATCGTCTGGTTGTTGTAATTTCTTAGAGTGAAGCTAAGCGGCGATGATGAATATGTCGCATCCACATGTGGTAGTCGGCGAATGGGGAGGAATCATGCGGGTCGGTGTCCTCACGAAATTTCCTCTAGTCAGTGAGCGATTGGGGGCGCTTGGATCGTTTGTAGTTGGCTGCGTGAAGGTCGATCTTGATCAGGATGTGATCACTAGTGAGCGTGTCGTGCGTGTTGGTCCTCGTGGCCTTCGTCGAACCTTTTAGAAGGGTGAGATCGGGAGTAGTGTCCCGTTCCACTGAATTTTCGTGGCGGGTAGGTGAGTCGGGATCATTAAGGGGAGAGAGGTGGTGCCTCTGAATTATGGCTAAGAGTTTGTTACCCTTGAGAGAGTTCTTGTTGTAATCCCAGGCCGTGTGGGGCGCATTGAAGTCGCCTGCAATAAGGTGCGTAAAAAGTCGTGCGGGGCGGAGGCGCGCTGTCGATTCAAGAAACTGCACCGACTGCTTCGGGGGGCCGTAGGTATTTGTTACATAGACGCTGTGGGCCGAATATTTACCGAAGGGATGAGAGGGGGAGAGTTTAATTGTGTGGCTATATGGCGTATCTTGGATGGCGGTGATTGCAAGGTCTTTTCTGGTTAGAGGGAGGAGAGTGCGTTCAGTGTCAGGTGTGGTATGAGCATTGTACCCAGGAATAGATAAGATGGAGCCAGATTCTTGAATGAGGATGATATCTGGTTTATCCGGTTGAAGGACGATGTACTGCGTGAGGAGGCCGCGCCTGCGGGCGAGACCCCTGCAGTTCCACTGCCAGATGTGGAGAGTATCACTCATGTGATAGGCTTACCGGCAGTGTCACCGGTAGGGGGTAGGGTGTGGGGCGAGCACTTCCTGAAGGTTTGCGAGCACGTGTGAGGTCTGATTCCTCCAACTTAATTAATCAAAGGGAAAGGGACTGGACTTCTGCGGCGAGGGAGGCCATGGTGGAGTGCAGTGTGTCGATCGCTTGGTTGATTGTGCGTGCTGGTTGTGCCTCAAGCGTTTCTTCTATTTTGGTAGTGAGTGAGG